CCTTCCCCTTTTTATCTTTTAGCTTATTTCCTGAATGTTTTACCACATTTTCCTTCCTCACACTAAGAAATAGCAGCTCAGGACTTGTGAGCCCTGGCTAATGGGATCCATCTGCCTGAAGACTCATTCATAAAGCCCTTTAATTCAGCAGCTCCTTTCTTGTGCTGAACGTCTGAGGACAGGAAAGTGGGGGTTGACTGAAAACATACTATTCCTTTAGTATAGTTTTAATGTAATATATATCATAAAATAATAAATCAAGCCTTCTGAACCAAGGAGTCAAATCCTCGTCTCTTCCCTCATCCAAGACCCCTGTGAACACGGTCACAGGCTGTGCATGGGAAATGCCTGCCAGGTAAAGGAATGATTGCAGTTTGGTGATTTTATCCTACAGTGCACACTGCATTTTGTGCTCCTCAGTGCCGTAAAACCTCCCAGAGACAAGGGTAGGGCATGTGGGGACAAGTTGTTAATTCCTGGATCTTTCAAGTGCAGAAATACTTCATTGTGATGGTGATCACAGGGGCTTTAGGATGAGGGAAGAGATGTAGACCTGACTCCACGTTACAGAAGGCTTGATTTATTATTTTATGATATATATATTACATTAAAACTATACTAAAAAGAATAGAAGGAAAAGCCTTCTTCTCAGAAGGCTAGCTAAGCTAAGAATAGAATAGAAAAGAATAACAAAGGCAGCTGCCTCAGACTCTCTGTCTGAGCTAGCTCCGCTGTGGTTGGCCATTAATTACAAACAACCACATGAGACCAATCACAGATGCGCCTGTTGCATCCCACAGCAGCAGATAACCATTGTTTACATTTTGTTCCTGAAGCCTCTCAGCATCTCAGGAAGAAAAAATCCCAAGAAAAGGATTTTCACAAAAAGATGTCTGCGACACTTCATGTGTATTTTCAAAAATAAATTATCCTTGGATAATTCACCCACCTCCCAGTGTGCAACATAAACCAGCTGTCTTAGAGTGCAATGAGTTAAGAAGGAAAAGGTTGAACGTAGAAAATGTTTAAAATCAAAGGTCACGTTGCAGCTCCATGAGACTTCCCCTTCTCCCCATGGGGTGGGGATAATCACCAGGCAATCAGTGCCCCCTGCCCTGGCAGTCCTGAGCCAGCTCCTCACCACTGCCCTCCAAGCATCGATTTCTCCTGGGGGTGTCTTGCAATCAGCATGAGACACCAAACAGGAACACTCTGCTGTAGATCCCTCATTTTCTTTCTTTTTTTTTTTTTTCTTTTTTTTTTTTTTTTTCTGAAATATTTTAAAATATTTCCTGGCTGTTTCAAGTGAAGGAGGGAGAAATCCCTGGATCAGGGCAGCCAGGAGGCTCCTTCAGGGCCTGGCAGAGCAGCCTGGGCTGCGCTGACTCTGCAGCTGTGGTGTGTCAGTTCTGAGTCTCAGGACTTGCCCTAAAGATGTTTAGCAGGCAGACAAAGCAACTCCTGCAGTTCCTGTACCCCTGGGCTGACCTAACCAGCAATCATTCATCCCCAGAAATTTTGGGAAAGTCTTACATGGTCCCTGTACCTGCCAGTACTTTCCTGGGGGCTGTTTCCCTCAGGGCTCCACCAGTCTCTCTGGTTGTATCTGCCCATAGCTGCTCTTTATAGCAGCTGACGGGGATTTATTTTCATGACAAGTATAATCAAAAATGTAAACTGAGGTGCTCTGCTTTTTCCTAGAACATTCACAGTGATAAATCTCTGATTCTTTGCAAGGGCATCACAAGACACCAGGCAAGTCCAGCAGTCTCTGCTCTTTTAGATATTTCACTGTTTAGATATTTCACGTCACAAGAGCTCAGGTGCTGTTGTGTGTGGGATGTGCTGTGCTAAAGGGAGTGCAGGAGGAATTATGCTGATGTTGTGGATAACTTTCCAGCCTGCTTCCATCCGTTTTGCATGTCAGCATCTGTAAGAATAACGCGTAAAATACCAAAATTCCAGCAGGCAGGACTTTCCCTTTGGAGGGCATTCCTCTTTCTGGGATGCTGCAGTGAAAGTGGTGACCCCTTGAGAGGGCTGATGGATTTAGAAGAGGGATGGATCAGTTGGTTCTGTGGTGTTGCACTGGAGTGGGCACCATGCACCATCCCCTGGGGCTCCTCAGCTCTCACTCTGCAGTGCCTGAGTGAGCATTTCTCAGCCTGTGCTGTGTCAGCATTAACGTGCCCTACCTCCAGGTGACTCTGCCTGGCAAACTTTTATCACTGATCACATTTTCCCAGGTCTGAAATCATCCCCTGCTCTTGCCTTGCTCTTTAATGTGGAAGGATTTTCCATAGGGATGTAAAAACAAGGGTACAGAATAGAGCAAACAATGCTCAGCTCCCCGTGAGGGCTGGCAGCACGTCCTGGGAAGGAGCAAGAGTGGAAATCACAGCTTATACACCCAATGTACTCCAGGCCAGAAGTTTCATCATTGTTTTAAAGAGCTGCTGATGGCCTTTTCTGCTGTGAAGGTTCCTCTCCTCTTGGACATTTTATTGCTTTCAGCTCTCACCACATTGCCTATCTGTGAGCCCAGCATCTCCATGGTGTGAGGGGAGGAGCTGCTTGCCCTCACACACCCTGGATAATCCTTCCACTGGCTTCCCCTGAGTAATTTGTTATAAGGAGCAGTGATTCATCAATCTCCATGTGAAGGCTAGGGAGCAGTCATGATTGTACCTACCTCAGAGATACCTGCTACAAAAAATCATCTCTTTTCCATCTCCCTGGTGGTTCCCAGAAAATAAACCTGTCACATCTTTGAGGCAGTGCTGACAGCAAGAGAACAGACCCTGGAATATGAGAGGGTTACTGAGCAGCAGCTGCCTGTAAGTCCTTAGCACAGCAAATGGATCCAGGCACTGGGGCAGTGCTGGAGTCCCCATTCCTGAAGGGATTTAAAAGATGTGGCACTTGGGAACATGTTTTGGTGGGGCTTGGCAGTGCTGGGTTAATGGCTGGATCTTAGAGGTCTTTTCCAACCTCAATGATTCAGTGGTTCTAAGGAAGGCTGTTCTAAACATCCTGTTTCTGTGAGGTGGTAAAATGCCTGTATTGATTTGAACAGCAAAGCAGAGAAGAAAGACCCTTGGGGGAAGAGTGGGACTGAGATGCATTAGCAGCATTGCTGTGGGAAAACATTGTCCTTGAGACGCCTAAAATTCACATTTCCAGTCTGCCTGGGCACATTCAGAGAGAAACACATTTCCTCAACCACACAATGAGTATGGGATGTCTGGCTGGAGCTCCTGTGAGGAACCCTCTGTGCTCACCAGCCAGAGCTGTGTCTGCTCCCTGCTCCTCAAAGGATCAGGAGTCCCCTGAATGCCTATCAAAGCTCCTGCCATCTGAAACAAGGGTTTTATGTGGCCTGGAGGGCACTCAGATGTCTTGTCAGCCTTAAATATAAAAGATCTTTTATCAGAGAGGAGAGGGAAGAAGCCACCTTCCCAAACGCTGAGGTTTCACCTCTCTGGGATCCAGGATGAGTCAGCCAGGCCCTGCTGAGCTCCACAGACCTGTTGAGGTTAATAAAATCCCTGCCAGAGCCTGGGCAGCTCACAGGATGCTGTGTGGCTTCCACATTGACGTCACTGCTTCTCATTTACCCTTGGGTGAGAGGGACCAAAATCCATCACTACCTGGCAGCCACTGGGTAAAGCCCTGCGAAATAAATCAGCGTTCAGCACAGCAAACAGGTGTCTGCAGCACAAAAGGAGCCATTCACATCAGCGGGGCACAAAGGGATTTTTCATCAGGGGAGAGGAGACATGAATGGGTCATTAGAGTGAGGGGAATTCGCAGGCAGAGAGAGATAACAGGGAAAAGCAGGGGGAGATTTCACTGTAGAGACAGTGGAGAAGTGCTTGGAGTGTGGGGGGATAGAGAAGAAGCAACCAGGGAGGCAAAGAGGAGTTAAGTGAGCAATTTGACTTTATTATAGGAAAACAGGGACAATGAACAAAACTGGAAAATACATTTAGAAGTGTGCAGAGGAGATAACCTTGCCTAGTGGAAGTGACTTTTGCCTCTGTGAATTTCAGTGGTTGGGAGTGCTGTGGGGCTGGAGGAAGGCACGGGCACCTGTGTCAGGAGGGGAAGGCCCAGGTACACTAATGAGAACACAGTTCCTGGTATTTCTCCTCCATGGAGGGTACAGAGGCTTCCAGGTAGGACTCAGGCATTAGCACACAAATTCAGAGAAAAGAATTCTCCTCTAGGATATTTTGAAATATGAATACCTTGCATCTTTGACTGCATCACTTGATCCTGTCCATTTTCAGAGCCAGGAAACCACAGGGAATGGAGCTCTGTGGTCCCCTCATTGTATTTTATCCAGGGCAGGATTAAATATACAGGTCAGGGCAATGTAGGGGTTACAATATCGAGTTACATTTGGTCTGGGGATGGAGAACATCCTTTTACAGACAAGGAATCAGTGGGCATTCAGAGGGAGCTTTTGATGCTCCTCAGTCTGCCACATTTTGCCAGCCCTAAAAATATGCCTTGAAAGAGAAAATAAAATCTCTGCAGGCTTTTCTCCACAGCTACTAAAAGATCAGGCAGTAGGTATGCTCCTATATCACCTGCAAAAATGTAGATGTTCTCATCTCCAGCACACATAAAAGCCATAAATCTGGGTAGTTGTAATGTCTTGTTCATTCATGTAAAGAGAACACAAATTGTGGATGGCACTGCCTGGTAAGGAGGAATCTTTCACTTCCCAGGCAGATCATTGTCAACATTAAACACTACTGAGTGATCATTACAAGGGTTACTTTGAAAGGCTATTTTCTTATCTCTATTTGTTTGCCTACAAAAGGCACCCTGGAAGGCAGCAGGATATTGTATGGAGCTTGGGTTTCCTTAAGCATCCTTCCCTTGTTCAGTAATAATAATAATAAAAAGTCATCAGAAGCCTCTGAGTTCCTTTAAATTCAAAATCCTCTCCCAGGGATGCTGCTGTGTTCAGTCTGGGCTTTGCTAAGGGGACAAAGCTGCTGTGCCAGGAGCTGGGGCACAAGCAGCTGGGCATGGGCTCTCTCCCTTGGCACAGGGCAGGGAAGGGGTTCATTTCTGGTGTCATTCCAGCCTTTTGAATCTTTGTTGTAATTTTTTTGTCTCCTACCTGTTGCCTGATCTGATGTGTTTTCTCGTAGACCTTGGGGAGAAAGGTCTCCTTTGTGCTCAGAACAACAGAATGCTCAAGCTGTACTGGAGCCTTTCAATGCTAACAGAATAAAAGTATGCCATTTATTTATCAAAGTCTCCTTTAAAGGAGGAGATGGACGAAACAGGTTTTAACCTACTTGTGATGCTCAGGAAAAGCAAGCACTTTGATTCGCTCCTTCCCAGACAAACAGCATTGCATTGCTTGTTTCTGATTTTATTACCTATAAACCACTTTCTATTTTTGTTTTCACATGCCATTGACTTTGTTTGGTACAGACACAGCTGAACAAGGCTGGTTTTTCAAGTGCGAATCATGTTAATAGATGCCCAGTTCTTTCCACTCCACACACAGGAGCACCGCTGTAAGAAAGAGAGCTGGTGCCCAAAAAAATATTTTCCTGTTTCATTTCCTAAATTACCTCTGAGGCCACATTATCCCTTCTGAATCCCCAAATGTGGAATGGTGATGGTTGCTTTAGTACTTCTGGCATGGTCTCTTCACATAAGGAGAATTTATTTGCGTGGAGGAGTGAAACAATATGAGCAGACAATGAAGTCTCAAGTGGTAAAGTGTGTGAAATTCTCCATTTACTATTACTTTTTATGATGCTGTTTCCAGCTTTTCTTCACTGCTTGCAACTACAACTGATGGATTTGGAGCACAGAGTGCCTCTTATCACTGCTCTTCATCAGCCAGTGTGAGCAGCAGCAAGCAGTCAAATCGTTGCTGTATCCAAACAGCATCTCTGCATCCAGGGATGGAGCTGCAGGGAGAGCTCACTCGTTGGGAACTTGATCTGCCTAATTATGTGACTGTTGACTGGGCAACGGGCTGCACATCCAGTTGTCCCCAGTAAAAAATAATTTGTCTTAAAATTTCATCTGAGTTAAAATACATCATCTTTTTATCTCATTACCTGTTTCTTTCCCTGTCACGGCATTTTTGAAATGGTATCAAGAGTTGTTAGGAGAAAGCTCCTTTCCATCATTAAAATACCAGGTTCAGAAAGATCTCCGGAGTCCTTAAATGCAGATGAGGGCATGAGTGGCACTTCCTGAGCAGAATTACAAGGAAGTGTTCTCACTGGAGACAGTATTCAGAGGTGGATGCTGGCAGGATTTCAAGTGTCCACACGTGTTCTTATGGCCATGACTCCCCTGACATCTCCTGTCCATGGAGGGTGTGCTGGAGGGTCCTTTCCTTGCAGGCTCCACTGAACTCCGGTAAGAGAGCAGCTCTGGGACTGAGGAATGAGTTGTCCCTTCAGACAGGGAGAAGTTAAAGAGAGAGACCATCCTTTGGTGGTATTTGCTCTTCATTTCCTTGGCTGATCTGTAGAGGTTCCCAACAAAGCAATAGCATATTGGGTTGAGGCTGGAATTGGTGAGGCCAAGCCACTGGGCAAAAGGCCTGAGCTGCAGGATCCAAGGAGAAGGAGTCACATCCTGCAAGGACTTGGGGATGTTGAAATCGATCCAGATGTCCATCAGGTAGACGGGCAGCCAAGAGATGGCGAAGAGCAGCACCAGGGCCACCACCATCTGCGCCACCTTCCTGCGGATCTTCAGCCTGGAGGCGGGCAGGGAGCGGTTCAGGGCAGAGCTGTCCTTCAGCTGGCTGCTGCGGCTCCACAGCCGCCGCACCGTGAGGAAGCAGATCACCATGTTGAACAGCACGGGCAGGCAGTACAGGGCGCAGAAGAGCAGAAAGTTGTAGGCTTGCTTGAGCCTCTCCTGAGGCCAGATCTCCCTGCAGATGGAAAACACCAGGGGCAAGCCCTCCACCACCCCGATCTCATCCCGCTTGTTCATGAAGATGAGGGGCATGCATATCCCTGAGGACAGCAACCACACCACCAGGATGGTGCTGAGGATCCTCCTCTGTGTGAAGAAGGAGCGGGCATTGAGCGGGTTGTGCACGCTGTAGTACCGGTTCACGCTGATGACCGTCAGGCTGAGGACGCTGGCGGACACAGAAACAGCCTGGATGAAGGGCACTGCCCGGCATAGGAAGTCCCCGTACACCCAGGCTTTGTAGATGAGGTTGCCCACGGTGATGGGCATGCAGATGCACACCACCATGAGGTCGCACACCGCCAGGTTGATGAGGAGGCTGCGGGTGGCGCTCAGGCTGGACACGTGGCTCCGGCGCTTGCGGGTCAGCACCCTGATGGACATGATGTTGCCCACAAAGCCCACCACAAAGGACAGCAAGTACATCACTGTGAGGCTGATGGTGACGGGCTCCTTTGCAAAGAGGAAGAGCATCTTCTCCAGCTCTTCCCAGCCCAGCTCCTGGCTGCCGTTCCAGAGCCCGCCTTGCGTCTGGTTCTCCTCCTGCCAGAGCTGCAGAGGGTCAGGGGGGGCCCCGGGTTCTGGGGGGGACGAATCCATGGCTGAGTCCCCCCCGGGTGACCTGGGCTAACGGGGCAGAGCCTTGTGCGCTGCTTCCAGTGCTCCGGACATGGCGAGCCGGGATCAGCCCTGCCTACAAAAGAGGGTGTGGAGAAGAGGGATCAGCGGGGGCTCGGAGCAGCGATCGCCCTTCAAGGGGAGCTTCTTATCCGCAACTTAGTTGGGAAGCGGCCGTAGCGCGGAGCGGCCGGGCTGGGCAGCGCGGCACCGGCACCGGCACCGCTCCGGCAGCAGCGGCGGGACCGACGGGCGCCCCGGCCCGGCCGCGGAGGGACGGGGAAGGAGCCCCGGGCCCCCCGCAGCCCGGAGAGCAGCCCCGGCCTCGGTCCGCAGCCACTCCCCCGCTCCCGCTGTCCCTCACTCCCTCCTTCCCCGGAAAGTTGCGTGTCCCGTGGCCGCGCTGCCGGACCCCTGCCCCGAGCTGCCCCCAGGTCCCTGTGCCCCCCGGTCCCTCCCGTTCCTTCCCGGTCCCTCCCGGTTCCCCCGGCTCCCCCGGTTCCCCGTGTCTCCCGCCGTCCGGCGGCGCGGCGGCACTCACCGGGCGGAGGGCGGGCGGCTCTGGCCGGGCTCCTCCCGCCGGCAGCTCTGCCGTGGCTGTGTGCGTGTGTCCGTGTGTCCCCGTGTCCGTGTGTCCGTGCGTGTGTGCCGCGGCAGCGCCCGACCCGCCGCCACACGCGCGTGCTCGCACCCACGCACCCACCGCACCGCCGGCCCGGCGCTCACCGCGCGGCGCGCACACGCTGCACACCCCACACACAACCCTGTACACACCGCACACAGCCCCGCACACCGAGCACACAGCCCCACACACAGCCCCGCACACAGCCCCGCACACACCGCACACGCTGCACACCCCACACACAACCCTGTACACACCGCACACACCGCACACAGCCCCGCACACCGAGCACACAGCCCCACACACACCGCACACGCTGCACACCCTGCACACCGTGCACACACTGCACTGAGCTCCACACACAACCCCGTACACACCGCACACGGATCCTCACGCACTGCTCAGAGCCCCGCACAGAGCCCCGCACACCGAGCACACAGCCCTGAACACGGGACGCACAGCCCCACACACACCGCACAGAGCCCCACACACCCCGCACACCCCGCACACCCTGCACTCCGCACACACACTGTACCCAGCCCCGCACACTGCCCTACACGCCCCGCGCACTGCACACAGCCCCGCACACCTTGCACGCCCCGCACACGCACAAAGCCGCACACACAGAGTCCTGTCCTGCGACCCCTGCGCCCGCACGCACACACGCGGATCCCGACAGACCCTACACACCTCCCTCAGCACGTCCCGCACGCTCTGTGCACACTCCCTTTGCACACTCCCTTTGCACGCAGCTTCCTACGGGCACCCTGAGCATCCCCCGCTCCGCTCCCCCCATCCCCGCACCACTCCCGCACCTCTGCGTGGCCCCGCACGCTTTGCACCCCCAGAGCCTTCCCGTGCACCCCTCCCCGCACACGCAGGTTCAACCCCGCAGCCCCTCCGCACCCCAAGAACACACGCCCACACACACCTACACACACATTCACGCACACACGCACCCCACTCTCTCTCTGCAAAGCAGCCCTGGCCGAGCCGGCCCGGGACAGCCAAGCTGGAAGGAGTCGAGCCGAGCTCTGCCCGGACCATCCCGGGATAGTTAATCCGAGCCGAACCGTGCCAGCCGCCCGTCCCGCCCGTGGTGCTGAAGGGACAGCTCCGGCAGGGCCGAGCACGGAGCGGGCAGGGTCCGGGCGGGGCTGGGACAGTCGGGGACTGCTCCTGAGGGTCGCTTCCTCCTCCTCCTCTCACTGGGTTCAGCTGTAGCAGAGCGGGGAGGATCCTGCTGCACTTCTACTCAGACATCTCTCACCGTCCTGAGTTTCTGGCAGATACCGGCACGCCAAGGGTTAACAGCACCACAGGTGTGATGGGAACTCACCCGGACAAAGAAACCAAACTTCTGGTGTTTTCTGTGGAGTTGAAGGAATGGGGAAAAGGAACGTTTATGGGGAAAAGTGTCTTGAAAAGTTGAAGTGCCTGTTTGGGGGAGCAAGGTTGGTTTGGGAAATGGAACTTTCGACTGGAGGTGCTCAGAGGGTGCCAGTGTATCACTGAGGACAATGTTTGATGAGAGGGATTCATAGCTCTGCCTGAAATGTTTAGTTTTTATTCTCTTTCTTTGCCTTCTCTGAGGGAGAGCAAAGTAACAAATCCAGCCCAGTGGAGGCTGCTCGTCACTGAACGGTGAATGCCCTTGATTTCACTGGGAAATTCCCCATCCTTTTTATTCTATGCATGTGAAAGAATAAAGTAAATATTTTTGGTCAGCCTTACGTGAAATGAAAGGAAGATCAGTGGTGGAGCTACGCTGAGGGGGGTGGCAGGCAGATGTGATCAGCCTGCAAGCCTCTCCTGCCTGAGAACGCATTTGCTCCAAGTGTGTAACTGCTCATTCTCCTACAGTTCTGTCTGTGTATTTATAGGTCTTCAGAGACAAACAGCCTCCACAAACTAATTGCAGAGTGTTGCCCAGAGCACCAGGTACACATTATTCCACATTATTCCACACAGTGAAATGCGTGGATTCTCCCATGGATACCTAAAATCTGCTGCAGCTTCACAGCTGCTCCATAAGCAAATAGATCTGTGGCAATGAGGCAACTACAGAGAGCAGCCTTGGAGCTGGCAATTGGAAATCTCCATGCACCAGAGCCCTTGCCAGCCTCTGACAGCCTCCCTACAGCACACCTGCCATTTACACATGGAAAACACAGGATGGAGGTGTTTAAGTCAACATTTTTAGTAAGGTATTAAGAGAATACAAGAGAAGAGAGTGCAGAAATGCAGAAATGTGCCAGGGCTTGCTTTGTCCAGGTAGTTGGCTTCCAAATGTTCAAGCTAATAAATACATTTAACTTCTTTCTTTTTCCTCGGTGCACTTTATTTGTAACTCGCATGATTTACTGCAGAGGGACCTTTAGGACTTCAAGACTAAATTACTAAGTTAATCAATGGTTTGATATAATTAGAATGAATCTGCTTTTGCATCCATTGACACAACTCACAAATGCCAAGTCATCTCCAGCAGCAAATGACAAATTCATCCACTGTGTGCAGCTGACAGAGAGCACAGGGCATTGATTATCACGAGTTCATTGATTCTAACAAGTTCAAAGTCACCAGATAACTCAAGATGGGGAATCTCTAGCTAAAAGAAATGCTGTACCCTTTCCACTTTGGTTTGCCTCTTACACAGCAGCTTTGAAGTGGAGGCTAAATAAAGTCCACCGGAGACAGAAGCCAACCTTCAGCAGCAAGGGCAATGGGCTGTGATCATACAGCAAAGCACATCAGAAATAACCCAATGGTCTCACTGGAGTTACAGCTGTGAACAACTGACCTGAGAGGAGTGAGTCAGCCACTTTGGGGCTTCGCCAGAATCTCAAAAAACCTCACATTTCCCATGCCAGCTACAAGTGCCCAGCCCTGCCCTGCCCACTGCGCAGCAGAGTCCCGGACCAGGGTAAATTTAGCTTTGCAGCCTCAGCACAACCTCCCTGCTCCCACTGCAGCAGGAGCTGGGTATCACAAAGAGCTGCAGTGATGCTCTGCTGTCCCAATGGATGTAAATCCAGGAAACCCTGAGGATTTTCCAGCTTGGGCTGGACCTTGAGAGTGTGAAGCTAGAGCAAACCCTCTGGTTGTGCATCTACTTGTGCTCTCCATACTCTAACTGTTCCCCTTGCTAGTCAGGCTCCCTGCCAGGATTTGGGGGATACACTGTGTGGTCCCCAGTATATCTGCATCCCTGAACTCTGTGTGATGGCACCTGACCAAAGGGCACTTGGCTCTCTTGGCTTTCTCCCATTTCCCATCCCAACATGCCTGATGTGTCTCAGCTGGCACAGTTTGAGGTGAAGGCCTCTTGTGAGGATATATCTGCTCTCCCCTCCTGTGCTTGCCCAGCAGGCAGGTGGGATGGGCTTTGCCCCCTTCACAGAGGTGAAACAGAATTTGGGCTTGTCTCAGTGCAGCAGGGCTGGGTTGGTGCTACTGGGACAGATTGCCAATGGTGCTGCTCGTGTCAGGTGAGCTGGGAGCACATTGCAGGGTGTTCGGGGTGAGCACTGGCACTGGTGAAATTGTTTCCCACCTGATTGTGCTGGGAGGTGCTGTTAACACTGAAAGCACTGGATTAAACCCACCTCCACTGCCACTTGTCCCTTCTGCCTGCCACACTTTGGACCGATGGACACAGGAGGACCTGGGGCTAAGGGAGACTCTCCCAGCCCTCCCAGGACCCTGCTGGGAAGTTCTGTATGAGCATTTCTAACTCTGAGTAATACAGAAAATACAGAAACCTGTCTCTCTTGCCATCAGGAGAGAGTAACAGCATCACCGTCAACTCACATTGGATTAAAAAAAAAAATCTGCCCTTCTCTGGGACATTTTCATACAAATCTCTAACCCAGCACCAAAACTCCCCAAATCCTCGGTGCCATCGGGCTGGGATCTCTGAGCTGGCTTTGTCGCTCCCTCTGCTGGTGACAGCTCTGTCCCCGTGGCAGCGCTGCTCCGGCACTGCCGTTTTGGGGCCAAAACGAGCTATTTGTGGTCCCAGGGTCCGGGTCCTCATCACGATTCCCGTGTGACATTCGCAGATGTCAGCGCTTTGATGCTGCTGTCAATCCAGGAGGGGATAAGAGGCCAGCGCTGCTCACAATCAAAGGCAATACAAAGGAGATGCCAAGTGCACTTCAGATTCTTTGAAAATAAAATAGCGAAGCAAATAAAAAACATCTGGGAATTGATGTTGGTTGTTTGTAATTACTTCCATGAGAGAGAAAATCTTTGTTCTCCCACTAGTCTTCCCTCAATCAAAGAATGAAACATTTAAACTATCCCCAGTCTCCTTCGGACGATTTTAAAAGGAGAATGTGTGCATTTTTATGTCTGAGAATATTCACTGGTCTGTTTTCATAAACAGATATGTGCCAAATTCCATATCTTCTGTCCTTTTTATTGGATGCCTTTTAGATTGAGTGCTCCGGAAATGTAGTGGCTGAAAGTAAAAGATCATTTTGCACAGAAGAATTTGTCTAATACAACGTTCACCGGCTCAAGAACAATGAAACACCATTTTGGCATTGGAGTGATTGAAAATTCTGTCTTTCAGATGTCTTTGCTTGTGGTTTCTGCAGAAGTTCAGGCAAGTAGCAGGATGGGAATGCAGGGCTAAAGATGCTCTTGCAGAGCTTTGTTTAAACCCAGGGCCACACCAAGTGAACTTTACCCTCTCATTAAATGTAGGGTCCTGAATGGATGCGCAATGAGTAGCAAAGTGAGTGTTTTAAGGAGAAATCAGTGCTGTGGATCCTTAAATCACTGCGCGTTTACAGAGAAGATTTTGAAGTGATAATGAGCATCAGGTCAAGCCTTTGAGAAGTTAAGAGTGCCAGGACTTGGCAGAGGAGGCAGCTGACAGACAAAGCAGCCCTCTAACACTGCCTGCATTCATTTCCAAGGGCCTGCA